GATGGATGGATGGATGGATGGATGGATGGATGGATGGATGGATGGATGGATGGATTGAGGGGTGGAGGGATGGATGATGCCTTTTACCAAGAAAGCAAAGATTACAAAAGCACAGGACATGGGATGACATTCTGATGAATAGATAACACAGAACGTGGTATAGTATAACAACAAGAATCGTTATCATCTCAGTTTTATTTTTATTTTTAGACTTACGTTTCTCTCTATTTCAACAACCTGTGTGCCTGACTTTGCACCCCACATGACATATCCCCAAGACTGCGGTCTTTCAGATTTTGGATGATAACATTGACGTATAAGTTATAACTTAGTACCCAATTCCAAATTCCGAAAGTTTCGTCAAACCCCTATTTAATTTTTTATGGTTTGACACATTAGTAGAGGGGCAGCGCTGGTCAGTGTAGGCTACAACAAATCGATCACTGCTTTACTTCATCAAATTTGCCCCGAAGTGTATCAGCGATTCGCATTCGAACAGCAAATGTATGTCTGACCTCGCAAGTAGTCTCCTGCTATCATGACCTAGAAAACCATGCATGTTTGATTTTTAAGGATTTTAAAAAAAAATTAAATTGTGCCATAAAGGTAGCTTTTACCCCTCCATGAAAGAAAACAGGACCTACTTCAAACGTATTAAACACTCAAAACAAATCAGGGACCACTACAGTTTTCACTATAGTATGTTTGAGACTGTTCCAAACTGTGTGCAAAACAAATATTGAGAAGTTAGGCGAGTGAGTAGATGTCATTGTAAGGAAGGGTCACCGTTGTTTACAATGATGAGCAGATTTGACACATGTTTAATTTACGCTGCCTAGACGGGGTGAAAGGGTGCCAATTTTCTGTAAAATTAAACCTGTTTTTGACAATCACTCATGTGATTTTCAGTGAGTGGTACTGGTTAAAAACCAACTCAGGGGAATTCACGCTTCCTACACTAATGCCTGAGTGAGTTTGACGGTGCTAGGGGTATTTATTGAGGACACATTAAGCAATTTTAACGATGCCTCCAAGAAGACGTCTGAGCAACATCGACATGGGACGAGTCCAAGCCTGGCTCCACGAAGGGATTGCTGTCCGTGAAGTGGCAAGACGGCGTGATGTGAGTCACTCAGTGATCTTCAGACTGACAGACCGGGTTTCTGCAACTGGAACTGCTGTTGAGCGAAGGTGGTCCGGACGGCCACGCTGCACCACACGACGAGAGGGCTGGGTGATCGCCAGAACAGCCCCGGCAACTCGGACCTGCACTTCCCGTCACGTCAGACAGCAGGTGGTACCCCCATTAGAAACCGGCTGCGTGAGATTGGTCTTCGCACCAGACGACCAGCAACAGTCCGGGTTCCACTGACACAATCCGTCCAGCACCTGAGGTGGTCACGCCCGCAGTGGTCTACTGTACTCTTCACAGATGAGTCCAGGGTCACATTGTCCTTCAACGATGGCAGGATCCGTGTTTAGAGGCGTCCTGGTGAGCGCTTCCACGACGAATGTGTACAGGAGCATGACCGGTATGGAGGAGGCTTCGTTATGGTATGGGGTGGGATTGGACTCAACCACCGGACCCCTCCCCCTGAATCGCATTCAAGGCACGGCGTCACTTTTCGCCCGATTCTGTTACTTTTAGTTCGCGTGACTCAGCAGCCCGTCGGAGCTCCCCGGCTCGGGGTCACGGGGTTAATGAGCCCTGAAGCGACTGTGCCGTGTCGGTTAGGAAGTTCGCATTTTTGACTATGTTTAAAACGATTTGGTCAAAATCGACTGTCGAAACTTTTTGCAAGAAGAAATACAAAATGTCAGAGTAGCGTGCCTCAACACCAGGTCATGCCGTAATAAAGAAGACGAGTTAAATGATTTAATTATTGAGATAAACCTTGATATTTTATGTATAACAGAATCATGGTTGCAGGAGTACGGTGCCGATGCGATTTTATCAGCAATATGTCCAGTTGGTTATTTAATTAAGTCTTTCCCTCGTGTCGGACGTAGAGGAGGAGGAGTAGCATTTATTTATAGAACTAATTTAGCACAA